TAATTCTGAATCAAGAAAGTCACTCCTTTCATCCTTTAGGTAGTTAATATAATCCTGTATACTATGATGAGTTTATCTTTATTTTAACAAATAAATATGTTCCTGAAATTTTCTGTAAGCCAAATCTTGCTTTTAAAATGGCTATTATTATAAATCTGGGGATGTACTTCTTTGGGAAAGGAATCACTTTCCTTCCAAAACATCTTAAAATCACTTAAGAAAATTATTTCTATAAGATGATATTCTGATATAACACAAAGCATAAATAAAAAATAATTTGGGTTATTTTTGTTTGCTACAATAACTTAACGGCATAAATAGAAAACGACACCTTAACTTACAAGAATACATTAAACTAGAGAGAATCCACTTGTCTTAATTCTACCTTTAAGAATCTATAATCTACTCTTGCTATTTACTTATTTGGTTTTCATAAAGTTATAGGAAACAGAATTGTTTTCACTGGTGCTAACAGACAGTATTAAAAGTTATGCTGCAAAAATAAGCAATGCATCACTTTTGTTAAGATTTCATTAGCCAAAGCAAATTGAATGACCATGCTTAATTTCAAAAAGGGAAGAAGAGTAAAATCCTACCATGAGCTCAAAAGGAGGAAAGCTGGAAATATTAGATGAACCACATCAATTCTTTTTTCTAGCAGTTTCTAGAAATGGCTAGCAGGAAGAAAATACAACAGAGAAAAAAATTCAGTAACAAACAAGAACATATACAAATAACCAAGAGGCTCATTAGAAAATAGCTGAATAATCAATCCTAAAGCGTCTTTAAGAGAGATTCTATATATTGAATCAAGTATCTAATTAATACAAACTCTAAGTTGGCCTCTTTTCTAAAAAGAGGTAAACCTATACTACAATATACTCATCAATCTATATATTCTGCCATTTTTCCAAAGTTAATTAAATAACCCGAGTTTTCTACGTCCTAGTGGGACAAGAATCACTTAAAAGGCAAAAAGTTTGTGCTGTCAGAACATTGTTTTGTATATAATCATTTCATAATACTTCCACTTTTATATTTATTTTTAAAATAAGTGTGAGTTCCACAACACAAAGCATAGATCAGCACACAGCAATTACTTGCATTCATATATTCTAGCAATGAGTGTGTTGAAACTAAAATTAAAAATACAATAACATATGCAATTGCTTCAAAGGAAAAGAAATATGTAGATATGAGTCTAACAACATATTTATAGAAGTTATATGCTGAAAATGACAAAACACTGGTGAATGAAATAAAAAAGACCTAAATAAATGGAGAGATTCCATATTCATGGATTGAAATGCTCAATACATTAAATTTGTCAATTGTCCCCAGATTGCTCTATAGGTTTAATGCAATTTCTAGCTAAATTCCAGTAAGATATTTTGTAGACATAGACAAGTTTATTCTAACGTTTATATGGAAAGGTACAAGACCTAGAGTAGCTAAACAATCCTGAAAAAGAGGAATAAAGAGGGAGGACCCACTCTACTTGAATTCAGGCCTACCATATGTTTATAATAATCAAGACTGCATGGCACTGGTGGAGGCATAGACACATAGATCAATGGGACTGAACAGAAAAGCCAGAAATAGAATCAAACAATATGCCCAACCAATATTTGACCAAGGTGTAAAAGCAATTCAATGAAAGAAAGATAGCTTTTTCACCAAATAATACTGGACCAATTTTATGAAAAATATAGGCAAAATATGAACATCAACCTAAACCTCACACCTTTTATAAAAATTAACTCAAAATAGATCATAATTAAATGTGAAACTGAAGACTGTAACATTTTTAAAACAAAAATACAGAAAAAAATATTCAGGATCTAGAGCTAGGTAGAGGGTTTTTAAACCTAATGCCAAAACATGATCTATATGAGGGAAATTTGATAAACTGGATGTAAAGCATTAAAAACTTTTGTTCTGTGGAAGTTCATGGGAAGAGGATAAAAAGAAAAGCTACAGACTGGGAAAAAATATTTGTGAATAAGATATGCAGGTATCAAATAAACAATGAAAAGATGGTGGATAGCCTTAGGTATTAGGAAAATGCAAGTTAAAACCACAATGTGATATCACTATATAACTATCAGAATGGCTAAAATAAAAAATAAGGAGAACAGCAAATGCTGGCAAGAATGCAGAGAAACTGGATCTCTCACATATTGCTGATGGGAATATAAAATAGTGTAGTTGCTCTAAAAACAGTATGGCGGTCCTCACAAAAGTATATATGCATTTACCATACAACCGAGGAACTATATTTTTGGGTATTTATCCCAGAGAAATGAAAACGTACCTTTATGCAAACACCTGTAGACAAATGTTCATAGCAGTAGTAGCCAATCAATCCTCCAATAGATGAATGATTTAAACAAATTGTGATATATCTATACCATGGAATACCCCTCATCAATGAAAAGGAACTATTGATACCTGAAACAACTTGAATGGGTCTCCAGATAATTATATCGGGGCAGGGGGAGAAGAGAGAAGAGACAACTTCAAAAGGTTACATACTATATGATTCTATATAACATTCTTAAATGACAAAATTATAGAGATGGAGAATAGTTTAGTTTAGTTTAGTTTAGTAGTTGACAGGGAGAAGGGAGAAGGAAAGAGGAAAAGATGGGAATGATTATTAAAGTGTAATACAGGGTATCCTTGTGGTAATGGCACTCTTCTGTATTTTACTGTGGTGGTGGTCACATGTAATAAAATTGCATAGAATTATATACACAAACAAATGACTGCATATGAAACTGGTGAAATCAGACTAAGGTGAATGGATAGTATCAATGTCAGTGTTCTGGTTGTGACATTGTACCATAGTCATGAATGATGTTATCACTGGGAAAACTGGATCAAGGGTTTTTGAGATCCCTCTAAATTATTTCTTACAATTGCATGTAAATCTACCATTATCTAAAAATAAAACTTTTTTTAAAAAATGAGTGTGATATTATCTATACTCTCATCCCTAGTTAATAAATAGAGAAAATAAAGCATGAAGGTAATCATCACTTAACTTTGTGTAGAACCTGGTATGATGTCTAGATTAGGACTCACCCAAATGGGAGTTCCTAATTCAGAAATCAAGATCGGAAGTAATACAAAATACAAGGATGACTAACATTTTCACTAATGGAAAACCTTTCAGAGAATTCCAGCAGCCCCGTATACAGTTGCCTGCAACTGCTTAAGAGATCCTAAGCAAGTTCAATAGAATCAACTCATAGAACCAATTAAGGATAATTGCTTGCTTTAAGCCACCAAGTTTTGGGATGGTTGCTTATGCAGTAACTAGAATTCTACACCGAGCAAGGGGAGTGATTGGTTGTAGCCAAATAGATGAACTTTTAAATCCCAGTGAGTCTATTCATTTCAAATGCTAGAATTTATGTTTGTCTCAGACTATCCCTTGAAACTCATTTTCCAGAATACTCTGTAAGCATGTTGGAAGTCATGATGGAAGTTTGGTAATGCAAGCGCAAGGGAAATTGAACAACCAACTCTTACCCTTGAAGAACTCACAGTCTAGTAAGACAAAACATCTGCATTAAATGGCATGAGCACAGTTATAAGGCAACAACTCAGCAAGTTCAAACCGATATACTACAGCACAAATTGAATGCATGTGGCAGTGTATGGCTACCCAGGCAGCAGGACGGAGCTAGACATTTTGGGCCTGAAGGCAGCATTGCAGAAAGGGCCCCCTTTCTTTTGTTAACAGTGAAATAAACATCTCCAGCAATGCAGAGGCTAGTTGAAAAAGGAGGTAAAGTCCAGGGACAATTATTCTCGTTTTAATTTTTCTTTGTTCTCTGTTCCTGATAAGTGTTTTTTTTTATTTTATTTTTATTTTTATTTTTTAGCAAACCACAATTTGAGCAACAATTTCCTCATCTATAGACTGGAGATAACAACCACAGAGTAACGGGTTGAAAGTTAGGGAATCCAGATTGGAATCTCAAATTTGTCATTTACTAGCTGTGTGACCTTAGAAACATCATCATCTCCCCCAATTCAGCTTCCTCTTCTATGAAATGATGAGTTTAAGCTGAATGATTCAGAAGTTCCCCACCAACTCTAACACTTCAGACCACAAATAGTTCAGTTGTCTGTGAGGGTTTAAAACATAATGTTGATGTATGTGAAAGCACTCCGTAAGCTATAAAGTGCTACACAGATGTTAAAAATATCGATATTTATCTAGTTCATGTAGAAAAAAAGCCCTGCGGTTCTTCTCCAAATTTAGAAGCTTAACATATTGTCTGTCGAGGCACCACTTTACTGGACCTTAGACATTTCTGACAATTCTTTGTAACTATCACTCGTCGAATAAACACAAATTTGGAATAGTGTGTCTCAGGTCCACCAAGGTATCAGCAGTGCTGTTGTGATTTCAAGGTCGAGCTCTTGGCCCAACTTAGAAGCTTGACGGCTTGCTAAAAAAATAAAGCGGTGGCTATGGTGGTTCGCACCAAGTTTTCTTCAAGACACTTAACAGTTAGAAGAGGCCTTTTTCATGAGGCTTGGGAGCCCTGTTTTTAAGAGAAGGCGGATTTCTAATCCCTGACCCTATACACACCCATCTCCACCCCACCTTTAAGGACAACAACCCAAAGCTTTGTCACTCTACTAGCCACTCACTGTGTGGATCTGGGAAATGCCCTGAAATGATAAGCAGCGTGCTAGATAGGGCGTGATTTGCGAGGCCGGTTCATTCTGTGTCCAGGGCACAAGCTCAGGACCAGACCAGGTCCACCCCTCGGAAAGGCCGAGGTGCCCGAAGACAGCGTGTATGGTCTTCCAGGCAGAAAGTCGGAGGGTAGTCGTGTCTTCAGGGCGTGTGCGAATGGTGGGAAGCTCCTAGGTGCAAGCAGTGCAGAGGGGGAGGAGGGACCTGAGGAACTGTGCGGTCCCTTTAAGACCCCAACGCTTGCCTAGCCAAAGGAAGGGGGTGCAGTGGGGGCGCTGCGTGATGGGAAAGTAGCCGGCTGAGTCTCACACTTTCTCCGGAGTTTTAAACTTTCGGGCCGCGGGAGCAGAAATAAAGCCATTGTGCTGGGCCGGAGAAAGGCTGCGTGCTTGCAGCGGCTGCGTGCTTGCGGACTTCCCGCCAGCGCCGAGCGGCCGGCTTCTCCGGCCAAGTGGGGAGCGAGCGAGCGGGCGGGCGAGCGGGCGGGCAGGTGGCCCCGGGCCGCCGCGCCCGCGCCTTGGCTCTGCCCCCGGGAGCCGAGCAAGCCGCTGCTCCCTCGTGGTGTGAGGGCGGTGATGTTTTTCCTCCCACCCACTTTTGAGTTCCCCCTCCCCCCTCGCGCGCACTCTAGCTCTCGCCACAACCTGCGAGCCCCAGACCTCGGACGAGAGCGCCCTGGGGAGCTCCGAGCGCTTGCACGCGTGGCAGACGGAGGAGGCCAGTGCCCAGGTTAGTGAGCAGTGCCCAGCGCTTGCTTCCCTCACCTCCTTTTCCAGCCTTTGCACAGGTGGGGGGTGCCTTCTGTTGGCGGGATCCGCCCCTGGAAGTTTCCCCAGGGTGCCCCAATTCCCCTGCCACCCCAATCCGTTCTGTGGTCCAGCAGCTAGCCACCTGGATGGAGGTGGAGGCCCCAAGGCTTCTGACCAAAGCAAGTTAGGGGTCTCTGAATTCGAACTCACAGCTCGTCACTTCCCACTTGGCCTGCATTTCTCTGTGCTCTGGCTCTTTGAGAGGTCACTTAGGTACTCCACCCTGAGCTACCCAAGGGGCTCTGCAGTTCCCTTAACTACTGCCTGTGTTCCTGAGCCTGTTTTCTCATTTTGCTGATTAATATGTGCTAAAGTTAATGTAACAGGGTAGATGGGTAAAAGGCTCCCTATCCTATCCTTTGGCCATCTGTCCCATTTTTTGGTCCTGACTACTGGGGTCAGAATTTGATAAACTAGTCTCTGGAAGCAACGTGGTACATTGCCAGAGCGTAGGGCCCGGAAAGCCTGCTTTCCAGTCCCTCCCAGCCCTGCCACTAAAGTTACTTGAGTTCTTTGGGTCCCCCGAGTGCCCATTTTGAAGGTGGAGTTGTGTGGAATAAAATGAAATGATAGATAGGAAGGTGTTTTGCAAGCCAAATGCAAGGCATTGTTGGTCAGTCATAAACAGCAACAAAGGCGTTGCATTGCCTCCAACAAGAGATATCCTGGGCTAAAACTGCCATTCTCAGCGGCAACACACCACCAGTTAACTGAGCTTTTCTTGCTGGGTGGTTGAGTGGGGAGAGAATTTCAGCTGATAGACAAGGGCCTGAGACTCCACTGTCTTTCTTATTGTTTGTCAGAAAGAAAATTGCTACCCTAGGGGCTGTCCCACAGATGATAGTCAATGTGAGATTACAAGGTCAGTCAAGCCTCTCGGGAGGATTAAAGAGACACTGTGGGGCGTGAAGAACTGGCTGACATGTGTTCATCCCTTAGCCTTCCCGTGGGTATGTCTCTTCGCTTCTGTTCTACCCAGGAGACCTCTTCTGAAAATGGGCTCCTGACACTTGATGGCCCACATTGCCTTGCAGTCACAGCTGGACAAGGAGTAGTTGTTCCCTTTGCTTAATGCAAATGAACAGTGTGAATGCTTGTTTCATGGAAGCACCTTAATAAATACATTTCTTCTGGTGCTTGATAGATTTCTCTTTCCCTTGTAAAACACAGGAACTCTCCCATCCCACCTCTGCCGCCAGTGTTAGTTGCAGGGTTTTGGGTTTTTTTGTTGTTGTTGCTTTCTTGTTGGGTCCTGGATCCCCTGAAACATGTCAATGGCTACATATCTAAGTAACCTGTAAAAGAGCCAGTGCAAGTTTAATGGCACAACAGCCTGTGTGAAGCAGACAGAGAGTTAATGCAGAAATAACTCCAGTTAACTGGGTCAAAGTATAATTTGAAAAATTAAGGACAGTTTGGCTCTTTGCAAGAATAAGAGTCGGCTAGTTTGCTGAGCAATGCTTGCTTGTGTTTACTGCTGCAGTCCCAACAGATGTTTTGAAACACCCCCTTCCCCCCCAAAAAAAGCTGAAGAGATAAAGAGAAATTGAACAGTGAAGAGATCTGGGGAGGAAACTCTTCTTGGTTCCTATTTCTGCACAGAATACAAAGGCAGGACTTCAGGATCTTGTAAATCAAAAGTGAATATTTATAAAGCAATTCATTTTCTGATGCTCTCCATCACAGCCTGTGAGGCCACACAAATGACAGGAACTCCAAAAGAGATTAATTGCTCTCTAGTTACCAACTTTTTTATTTGCTCATAACATTAGTTGGGACCTAAGAAAAGCAAAAAAAAAATCTACGAGCCGTTTTCTTGCCAACTTGAGTTATGAAGCAATGCTACTGTTCACTGAATCGCCCAACCATTGTACAAGAAAAACAGCCCCATTGATTCTTGCTTGGGGAGACCCTAAAACCATGGTTTCAAAAACACCCACTGAAATCTCTATATTAATATGATAAATTGGATTTCAGTGGTTAAAAATCTTTCTCTTTTGGAGGCTTTGGAGAATAAGCTTATTAAGTAGGCTCAGGAAGAACCTCCTGAAGTGGGTAGCTGTGTTAAACTGATAATGAAAATGATTTGTTTCAAAGAAACGTGGTACCCCTCAAGGGACAGCGACATTTTGAGTGATTGAAAGTGGGCCACAAACTCACAGAGGGGACCAAGATGTCAGAACTCGGGTCTTTGGATGGGTAGGAACATGTCCTAGGATAATTTGGTTCTTTAAGGAGCAGGGAGGAGGTAAAGAAAGAAGGCAGACAGTGCTGCAAATCTTGCCTGATAGCACAAATTACTCTAACATCAGTTCTTCCTTGGTTATGCATTCATAATTTGAAACAGTGGATTTTGAATGACCCAGGCAACTTCATAGCATTTAAATAGGAGCTGTGGCATCTACTTCAGAACCCAAAGGTATTCCAATTCTCCAAAATGATCATTTTGCATTCCTTCAAGTTCTTTATGTGCAATATTTAGGTTGGACTCTCTGGAAAGATCAAACAGTTCATTCCCCATTCAGATTGAATCTGGTGTTTTTACAACATTTCAATGTTTTCAAATCATCCATTGGAAGAATTTTGCAAACTCTGAAATCTGTGGAAATGACCTGTGACTAAATATGAGCTACAGCAAGCTTTCTGTGTTCCAAGGTTCAAAAGGTTTAAGATTTCTACCCCTTACACTGGGAATGCCAATCTCATGTTTTGAAGAATTGTAGTTGCTTTAATGGTCTTTTGCATAGTGGTGCAAAGTGAACAAATTATCTATTTAATTTGCCTAATTTCCCTTAAAAATGCCCCATTTAAAATTTCCATTTTACAATGGACTTCATTGGGGAGGAATATGTCTGAACCACTTTAAGCAATAAAACTTTTCAGGTGTTTAATTGCATCCATTTGCTAATTACATATATCTTTTCCAACATTAGTTGCCAAACCAAAGATCCTTGTAGATCTCATAGAGGACACAGGAGAAACTGATCAATTTGTACTTCATCCCTGAAGGATTAATGGTAACAGTAGTCTTGAAGCTAAGATAAGTTAACTTTCATTTCAGAAATTGCTTGGTCTCATGCCTGTTACTTTTACCTTGTTTGCCAAAATAACCGTTTTTGTAAACTAAAGTTTCCCTTTTCTCCCAAAGAAAATCTCTTGAGAAATCAACTTAGAAAGGAAGATTTCAAAATTTATTTTCATTTTTCTATAATTTGTCTGTAAGGATTTAGCCTCAGCTTTGAATAGGAATGCACCCTCATTCACTTGAATTTTCGCACACAACCTTTGCAAGACAGGAGAGGCAACTACTTTATCTTGTGCAGGCGACGAATACTTAGACTTATGTAAATTCTCTGGCATTTATTTTTCTAGCAGGTTAGAAGCCTGAGTATCAGTGATCTCTATCAGTTCCAGAAGATCTGTTTTAAATCTCTTTTTTCTGCTTTCTTCCCAACAGCTTGAAGGTTCTGTGTCACCTTTTGCAGTGGCCCAAATGAAAAAAAAGTGGAAAATGGGAGGCGTGAAATACATCTTCTCCTTGTTCTTCTTTCTTTACCTAGAAGGAGGCAAAACAGAGCAAGTAAAACGTAAGTGAAATGTCTTGCATTTGGGAAATAATATACTTTTTATAATTTCTTGAAAATGTGGCTATAATCTGTAGCAATTGTGATTCAGCCCATGTGGCCGTACCATTATTCTAAGAGAAAAAAAGTGAATATTACCGGTTTATGCATGAATTGATTAAAGAATGAGAGCTTAGAATCAGGCCAACTAAATTGGGGGCTGTTTTCTGATTATCATATAGTTTTTATCTCTTAAAACATATGACACATTAGCTTATTTTCTCTTTCCTGTTCTAAACTATATAAATTTCAGTACATTTTATGTAACTCTAGAAATATCTGAGAGATGAGCTGGAATTTTCCCAAATTTCAGACTCTTCAGCAAAGTCTTTCGGTCTATGAAAAATAATGACATGGAAAAGAAAAAAAAGGAAAAGGAAAGCAGGCTCTGCCTATTCCCTTATGCTGAAAAATGAGGAAGGAAGCAACCTTCCAATGAACTGAACGCAGATGAAAAATTCTTTCAGGAAGTTGCGATTCCAGGGACCATTAGCAAATTGGATGCTCTTTATTGAAAAGAACATCCCAGAAAACCCAGGGAATATTTCTAGAAAGTCAGCGATCCGTGTAATGGGCTAACACATTGGAGAAAGCAGAGAGTGGCAGGAAGTGGAGGCGGGGATAATTAACCCTCCTTGCTGCCACATTTAGGAGATTTATGAGTAACCATAGACATCTCCATTCTTGTTAGGAGCTTTCTGCTGCCTTTGCACAGTGTGGGTCTTACCTTCTTTGGGCCACTTTCAGCCACCTCCGATGCAGACGCTTGCTCTAAATTTGAAGGAAAAGCCTAAGTTCTAGTTTCCCTTTTTGGCAGCATCAAAAGAAGCACAAAGTGGAATTGGTCCAAGAGGGGCATTCTCTGCTCCACTGAACTTATTCATGAGAAGGAGCTGTGAAAATATTCTTGGTAGGAGCTGAAGCAGCATCTGAAGCCCATCACATAAACCTTTATCTCTTTTATCACATAAGTTGAATAGATCAGGCAGAAGGCTTGCTGACAAGGAGAACAGTGCCAAGCCTATTCCATCCTTAAGTGTGTTTCCACCCCACTACGATTTTCATAGTCAATGTAGTCTTCTTCCTGGGAGAAATAGTGTTTAATAGTGTGTTTGATTAGGCTTTTGAGCATGAGTGATCTATGGTGATATCTAGTATGATTGGGGCACAAAAGGAAGTTTAGTGGGGCATGATCTCAGCAAGGAAGCTTGGATCAGCCTCTACTCTTGTATTCCTCAAATTGCATCTTTCTTCTTCCACTTGAATATAGTTCATCTCGGAATCCTCCTCTTCCAGAAGCCCTCCTTGATTTAAGTGGATATGACAGAAGCATCCATGCATTCTCAGCTCAGCTTACGATTATCTGGGCTTAGGGATGAGAAATTACTAAGCACAACGTACATTATTTGGGTGATGGTTACACTAAAAGTCTAGACTTTATGGAATATATCAGTGTAACAAAACGGCACTTGTACCCCTTAAATTTATCTTTAAAATCTTCCTCTCTTAGAGAGAAACTTCCCTTATAACCTGTTATTGATTACCTCATAAAGAAAGCTTGTAACTCTTAGAAGACCATCTCTTATGGAAAGCGTTTCATATTTATTAAAAATTGATTAATATTGTCCATGAAACTTAGACAAAGAAAGATGTGACTTAAAAAACAATTACAAACCCAAATCTACTACTTTCTGATATTTCCTTGTGCTGATGAATTTGTCCCAAGCTCTTTTGATATTCAATTGGTGCCAAAGTGATTATGTAACAGATGGCCTAGGGCACCAGTTCTGGTCCAGTGTTTCAGGCTTATTGTCAGATGATGAGGCTAAGGTCATGGTCCTTCCCTTAATGAGCCACTGAGCATCATTAGGTGTGTCCACGCCCAAGCTAACTGTTCTGAAGACGTGCAAAATCATCTCTGCTAAAGGGAAAACCTTAGAGCATATGTCCTATGTATGTTGCCTTGATACGTATCCACACACACACACACACACACACACACACAGAAACATGCACAATATGCATGCACAGAGGTTTACATTGCAGCTCTAACAATGAGAAGTTAGAAGCAGTGGAAATGTCAGTTCATGGTTAAATGGTTACAAAAATGATCCAAGTAATGTAATATAATGCTACCAATAAAAACACTGTTTATTGAAAATTTGGTGGCTCTGAGAAATGCATGTTAATTTATTTTTAAGTTTCTTAAATTATAAAATGAATATATATGCTTAGTATACAAATAACATGAAAGCATTTGAGCTTCATATGGAACATGTGTCCCTACACTCCCATTCCACTCTCCTGGGATAACCATTATTAGTGGTTTGCTATGTGTTCTTCCAAACTACTTTCTTTGTTTTATAAAATTATACATACATGTCTGTATGATTTTTTGTTTTACAAAAATAGGATATTATATACATTTTTCTGTGACTTGTTTTTTACTCAATAATGTGTCTATCCTTCCATGTCAATACATTGCAACGTAACAGTGCCATATTCTTTGTAATGCCTGCATAGTTTGCAGCTGTATAAGTTTGCCAGGGTTTGTTTAACCAGTCTATATTTGTAGAAATTGAGATTGCTTCTGGTTTTTGCTATTACAAGTAAGACTTTTATGAACATCTTTAGGCGCTTATTCAAGTATTTGTGAGAAATAAAGTATATATTCAGTTTTAATCCTGATAAGTACTGTCAAATTCCCTTTCAAATAAGTTGCATTAATTTATGCTCCCACCATCTCTGTATGAAAGTCCATTTCTAATTCCTTTACCAAGATTATAATTAACCTTTGTATTTTGGGGCCAGTTTAATAGGAGAAATAATCTGTAAGTTTTGCTTGGTATTTTTCTGTTACTGCAGCATCTTTTCAATTATGTATTAGTTCGATTTTATTTCTTCAGTCAATTGTCTATTTTTTAGTTCGGTTGCTTGTCATAATTATTTGTAAAAGCTTACTTATTAACCTTTTCTACTTTAAGTATTATTTTCTATATGCCACCTGTTTTAATTTTTAAGTTTTATTTTTCCCATATAGAAGTTTTAAAATTTTATGTAGTCAGATCTGTCATTCATTTTCTCTATGGTTTCTGGCTTTCCTATTCTTAGGAAGGTCTTTCTCACCCTATATTTTTATATTTTTTTCTACTGCTGCCATAATTTTAGGTTTTACCCATAGTCCTTTATTCCATCTGAAATTTATATTCCTGTATGGTATGCAATAGGGAACTAATTTTTTTTAATCTCCGGATGGTAGGTTTATGAATGTTATTTTTGTTCACTTTTATACTTCTGTCTATTCCAAAATTTCCACAATTGGCAAGTTTAAGTTTTACTACAGGAGAAAAGTTCTTTTAAAGTAAAAATACATCTTATTTCCCATATTTTTACTGTGCAATTCTAAAGACAAGTTGGTACAGAAGTAGATGAAGGAAATAGAGGGGTTTTCTAAAATTAAAAAAGAAAGCAACTGGAAAATTTTAAGAAAATGTATAAGAGTAGGTATGGGTCGTAAATGCCTTCACATCTCTCCTTGTCTGACACCATTTTACCAAAAGAAGACAAAGCTTTTTATCTTTCAGGGGCTGGTTAGAATATGAGCTTTTAGGTCAAAGAAGGTGCTTTGTAGCCTATTTGCTCTCCTATTTGGGGAATCAGGGTGGAATGATGGGGGATGCCATTATGATCAAAGAGGCTCACTCAATTGATTCAGAAATCTGGAAGTGTGGAAAAAATGTTTTGTTTGTGGAAAGCTCTTCCCAAGGAATGGTGAAGGTGGGTGCTGCCACTTGCTGGTAGCTAATTACCCATATTTATAATTTCACTTATAAGAGAAAAGACAGGCTCAGGAAACCCAAAAATACTGATAGTGCATTGCAATGGATGAATGAGTCATTTGTTGCTTACATAAAAGTTTGTTACCCTCCAGCATCAGCAAGGTTTGAGGTCTGTAGCTGGGAAAAGGTCCTTCTGTATAACTCCATTATGCTCTGTTGTTAAAGTTGTAGGCAATGAGGCCAGGAAACTCTTTTGAAGTTCAAAGGAGCGTAACATTCACAGCATAATATTCATGCAAATATGGGACAAATGGGCTGAAGAGTTTGCGCCTTTGGCAGATCTAACTTAGGTAATGAACTATTGATCAAAGTGAGGTTGAATAATTGAGTTGTTAAAAATATTCAATTATGTATTTCTAATAGACCAGTCTGTGCCAAGTCTGGCAAAGGTTCTGGAGAGAGAAATTGTTCATGTATTTCATGGAGTCCTCTCCTGCTTTAACAAGGTGAGTTAACTGGATCTTCAAAGAGCTAGATTGTCACTTATTTTTCTCCTCAGGAGAAAAGCTTCCAACATTCAGATTTGGCTAAAAGTGGGCCTCTGGACACCAAAAGATTGAAGGAAAGGAAGAAGATACTTAGAAAGTTTGAAACATGTGAAGCTCACTCATAACTTCTTTGTCTATTGTGGGAGCCAGCCAGGAAAGCATGAGTTTTCTTCCTCCAGATTCTCACTTAGACATTTGAGGTGATTATTGAACAACAGAAAGAAGCAAGCAAAAGAGTGGACCTGTTCACATCTTAGATGTTTAATTAGGTGGAAGTAGAAGGAAGGAGGCATACTTAAATTAGATAGCTTAATGCTTCTCAAAGTATATTCTTAATTGTTTTTTATTTTGGTGAGGGGGCAGAAGGTTTTGTCATGGAGGCTCTGTAGTTAGCCTAGATCCAATCCCCAACTCCTTGACTTATTTATGTACCTTGGGAATGTTACCTAACCTCTACAGCTTTAGTTTTCTTACAGTGGGGGAAATAATAGCGTATTGAGCGTGAGAGTAGTCATTTGAAGAAGAAACGAGATTGTGTACACCAAGTGCTTTGCATAGTGGCTGGCATAGAGTATATTTTTATATAAGTAGTCATTATTAGAGCAACTCTCTTACAAGCCAAATATATTATCCCCTT